CACACACACACACACACACACACACACACACACACACACACACACACACACACACACACACACACACACACACACACACACACACACACACACGAGGATAGGAATTCAGCGGTGATGCAGGGGGACTGTCACTCTCAGACATGTCACCTCTTCCTCTAACGCTGAAAGGCCATGCGGATAATGGAATTCTGTTCCTCTGGGAGTGTGAAGCTCTGCCTTTATCGGAAAGCTTGGAAGATAGTTATTCTCCATGGAGTTTGCTTTGCTACAGTAAGAAATCTGCCAGGTGCAGCACTGCCTCCAGTTTACTAAACACTGTAATGCGCACAAATAACTTGCTTCACTGAGGTTATGAATATTTATGAGATTCGCATCATTAAATATTCAGAACCTGGTATCAAGTTCTGGTAAAGAACATTACTGTAGCTGCAAGAAATCAAGGCACGTGTAATTCATTAACTGACAAATTATTATTCATGCGTCCTGTAAGAGCTTCGCAACACTGCAACTAGATGTCATATATATATGATAGGCATTTATACGGGTTTGTTTCTGGATTAAATTGCAGCAGCATTTGTTTAATTTGAAAAGTGATTAGTTTTCATTTAAATGGTTCACATTACAGTTTATTGTAATGTTGTTATAAAGTCACAATTTTCCTCAGGAGCTCAGCAAAAACAACAACTGCTGATGATGATGATTTATTGAAAGCACTATTTCAACCAACACCACCTCGCTACACCGAAGCATTATACAGCGTTTTTAAGCAATTGGCTAATTACTTTATAGTTTTGTTTATTTTTTTCTTTGGACCTAGAACAAGCGGTTAAAGATTTAAAAAAATCATAAAAATAATTGTGATAAGAGCAAGAAATATAAGATAAAATGCGTAAAAAAACAACTATCTTTTGCCCATTTAGAACCCAAAAAGCAGGGAATATGGACTTTAAAACTGGACCGGCTGAAAAGGAGCAGCTCATTATGATCGCGGCACATGAGATGTTTTTATTCCTTCACTCCCACTCCTCATATTCTCCATGTCCCTTCGGTCTCTCTCATTAGTATTATTTAACATCTCACTCTGATACTCGGGGGTGTGAAACCTGGCGTCTGGCAGCCTGTCAGATCTGCCACTTCTCATTGTGCCTCAACACTTCATTAAGCTGCACACTTCCTCAAAGGAGTAGAAACTCACGCAGGGAAGGAGAGCTTTGAGGCAGAGAATATACAAGACAGCATGATGATGGTTTGACAAAAGTCTAGAAGGGAAAATCTATGCTCCGGTTTCTAGACTTTAACTACAGAAATTATGGATCTTAAAGCTCTTGTTCTGGATGACTGTATTGATTGTTGTGCCGATGTATTGATGTAACTGCAAGATAATCTGCAGTATAAAACCTCTTTCAGGTGTGCACAATTAGTTTGTATCATTGAGGCTAACAATAAATGCTAACACGTTGCAGTTCCAGTGGAAACAATCTGTTCTCTTTTAGCTGATTTGGCAGAATTTTCATTTAATTTCACCATCGACACCGACCAATCAATAACATGATATGCTTTCTCTTGAATGTATAGGTATCAGATCATATCGAATCTCCAATGAGGCTATTAATGATCGGACACATTTAAATATGTGTTACTTTAACAGGACATAGTACTAGGATTGTTTATAGAGAGACTTGGTTATATAGCTAATGATATATAAACTAGTTTCAATAAATTAATTGGCCCTATTAAAACTTAAGAAATGTAATTTGCAAGTACAATGAACGCCTCTAGCAAGGTGTCAATTTGTGGGAAAATACCATTTTTAACTACATCCGGTTAAAAACAATCACTTATGTAAACAGGAATTAATTTCAGCACCTCAGGCTGTTACTTCCTGACATAAAATGTAATGGGGCAAACCACAAACTCACCAGCAGAACACTTAAATTGTCCTAACAGCGTTTCTTTAGTGCTAAAATGTTGTATTCACACAATAAAATATGGACTTTTACTATAACCGTAACCATAAAATATACGTATCCTCTTACTGTGATCGATAAAGTACTGCTGTATAAATAAATATAAATATAATATATTATATATATACAGTATATGAGTAAGGCACTTAGCCCTCGGTTACTCCAAGGAGAATGTCCCTGTAATTGTAAATCGCTTTGGAATAAGGCGTCTGCTAAATGCCTGAATTGTAAATTGTAAATTATATTTTTGGGAGAATAAACCCCACAGATCCTCAACTCCGATGTGTTTCACTCATTAACAACGCGACACAGAGCAACAAGATCGTTGTCTACAGTAGCCATGAACTTGCATGTATTATCTTATTTGAGGGGGGGGTGGATGCGGGGGTAGCAGTTCCAGCAGAGAGCCCCAAACTTTCTTTTCCCTGGCCACATCAACCAGCTCTGACTGGGGGATCCCAAGGTGCTCCCAGGCCAGCGAAGAGATATAATCCCTCCACCTGGTCCTAGGTCTACCCCTTGGTCTCCTCCCAGCTGGACGTGCCTGGAACACCTCCCTAGGGAGGCGCCCAGGTGGCATCCTAATTAGGTGCCCGAACCACCTCAACTGGCTCCTTTCGACGCAAAGGAAATACCATATTGCCTTTAATGTTCTTCCTTTAATCATATTACCAAGCTAACCTATGTTGAGTCTACATATCTACATAACGTATTTTCTTGTAAGTGCTTTTTTAAAGACTAAATCATTATTATTGTACACACAATCTGCATACCTACCTGCCCACATGACCAGGACCACCACGATGATGATCATCTCTCCTGTTTGTAGATGTCGGGACTTATCCAGGCCCTGCACAGTGGGGTCATCTAGAGAGACCACAGGAAGGACATTTGTAGTCAACACACACTCCAAGGTCTAACTACTGAATACTGAGGACTGAACATTTTGACCTTTCCTTAATTGATACAACAAAGAACAACATACATTGGACATTGAAATGCAAAAACATCACACACAATAACACATAAGTCTTGACATAGTGTCAGTAAAAACTAACTACCCTTCACAAGTCAAGAGATACTTCTCTGGATTTTCTGATAAGACCACCCTGTCAATTAGCACCGGTAAAAGTTGACACGCCCTTCATTTCTCATGATTTTTATGCCATTTAACAAAAAACGTAGTCAGAAAAATGTGCTGGGCATTACCACAAATCAATCCTGTAGCATTAATCCTCCTTTAAGTGGATTGACTATGGGCCTTTTTCCACTCTGAAAACTATCTCTTAACCCGCATGGATGGAACTCTTCCAGAGCACCACTCTTCCCTATTGCTTCTTTCAGTGAATCAAGTCGTCAGGAAACTGGGCCGGAAACTGTCAGCTCTCTTGGCGTGATGGCTGCTACAAAGTGGGGTCAATTACTTCCATCTTGGTTGTGTGCATGGGAAACGTAAATGAAGAAAGGGAAGGTGTAGAGTTTAAAATAGCCTCAAATCATTGTGTCTTTGTTGACTGTGGGTCATTGAACTCTTGAAGAACAACGTATGTCAGGACAATCAATGTAAGTTCTTGTAGCTTACACACATATAGTTCTGGTTTATATGAATAATTTAGCAATTTTTTGATTAATTTTTTGGTATCATACAGACTTAAAGAACCGTAAGTTATACATTGCTGAATTTAGAGGGGATTTGCGCTCTACTACTGGGTCCATACTGTCTACATTTACAGTCATCAGTAAATAAAGGCATCTGCTGACTACCATAAAAGCAATAACACATTGTTTAAGCAAACTACTGAAATGCATAGATAAAACTACTCAGAGAAGGCTGTTTCATAGAGAATCTGCTGGTAGAAGGCTGTGTCAGTAATTAACCTTGAGGCTTTGGTATTCTCAAAGACCTTCCATCTAAACGTCTGCAAATGCCTTGTTAACTGTGTTCTAGTTTGTCTTTAAAGGGCAATTTCCATGAGCATTTTAATCTTAAACGCTAAAAATGAATGAGCTTGCACACGACAGAATGTAAAGAAGGAACAATTTGGATTAAATCCAATAAACAAACCATCAAAGCGTACACATACCTTGATGCTTAGTGGCATCGTAAACACACAGATGGCAGATAACATAAACTAAATGCTAATGCTACACCTTTGAGTCTGAGTTTCAGCGCTTTGGTTGAATATTGCTTATCCATGCCCTGCTGTTAATTAGTGGTTGCTTTTATTGACCCAATAGTGAAGGTGAATTGCTTCCCCTTTTAAGTGTGCAGGTATTACAAATGGCTCCTGACTGAAATGTTCAAAACAACTCAGCAATGAGCCCCCTGTGTTATCTATCAGCTAGCAGTGTGGGATGTGCTTCCAGCAGCATGTAGGCACACATTATGCCGGGTCAGGACTCAGCTCAGCACTAAGTACGACCTACGAGCTGCTCTCCACTTTATTATCCCACCTCTCTTTCTGTCAGAAGAACCTCACCCACTGAATTATAAACTGGCCCTGCACATATGAAAAGTAGATCATAGAGAAACCACTTGTATCAGGCTGTTTCAGTCATTCATTTGATCTTTGAGGCTTCTGCACATTTCCATCTGAACTTCGTGCTCTTGTTTACCGTGTTCCAGTTGATCTAATGATCCTTAATTTGAAAGACGTGCTGCTGACTGTGAAGCATGCTGATATTCACCATGTGCATATTTGATGTAATATACAAGCGAGCGATGGAACAGAATGATGACCTGAATAACATGTTGTGCTGCCGTATCGTACATATTTCATGTGGCATTGCTACCACACTCAGATATATGCTGTGATTCTCTGCTGTAGTCGGGAACGTATGGATTGTGAAGCCTTCGGTGCACTCAAAGAGTTTGTGTCGAGATAATTAGTTGACCTTCCTTCTGCTCACCCCAAATCCCAGGATGTTGTTTTGTGGCTGTTAACTGTGTCGGGAAGCCATGTAACAACACACTGGGGGGGCTGTACTGGTGTCATGATGATGAATCCTGTGATTTATTTTTGCATTATGTCTCCTAGAAACTGTGTTTTTAAAATAAAACATGCGTCTCCTCAGTAGATAAACAGTGTATCAAACATGTGAGTTCAACTACAGCTGAGTACAGTGCAGTATAATGTGAATTAATTTATGTTGTAAAATCCATATCAGTATGGTTGTTAAAATAATATGTACCAGGGAGCGTACTTTGTCTCAGTGCTGCTAATGGGGGAGCCTGGGTGTTTCTGACTCTCATCTTTTTGAAGTATCTCACAGTAATTGTGTCTGAGGGGAGTGCTTACCGAGGTAGATTTGACTGCTCAAGGCATGCATCCTTTGAAATGATTCTTTCTTTCTTTTTTCATCTCCTTTGTGAAACAGTTTGAGAGCAGGTGACAATCGCAGTGGCTTCATGTGGCTTGTTTGGGAATGTTTTATATAACTTATTTGGAGGTTTTCTGTGTTGACTGTGGCGTCACTCTTCATGCAAAAGAAGCTTGATAATGTAGTAGACACACAAATAGAAAATGCCCATTTACAAATATCTAACATTGTTAATCCCTTGTACTTCCATTATGCTGGAATTACTCCTCAGTAAAATACTTTTCAGTTTAGTTTGCAGAGGTTCATACAGAGCAATTGATTACTTTAATGGAATCCTAATAAACTGCAGACATATGACAACAATTGATCTTAAAAAGTCTCCTCCTCTGACCAAAGTGAGACATACGTCACTCTTGAAGGGCAATAAAGAACACAAATGTGGAAATGGAAAGATTTTAATCAGAGTATATATATATACTCTGATTAAAAGCTTTCCATGGAAATAATCAAATTGAAATAGACTTTGGAATTACATATTGATCCTCAGTAGCCTATTTAAATTCAAATGGGAATATATCTTGCCAGGAAATGCTTTATACGAAATAGATTGATTCTGAATCTGGCTCAGGCAAGTTGTACAGTCAGTTGCATATACTGATATATAATTACATTATCAAAGATAATTGCATTCAGGAAAAATATATAAGCATTATTGATTTATGGGTGTTATATCTATGGCTTTTTGGAATGCCTAGACTATGCTTCAAATCAATTTAGTTTCAATAGGAGGCACTTGGCTGTGAGATGCCGCAGCCAACTAGATTACAAATGCTTTTTAAGGAGCAATGGTCAGCGGCAGGATCCTGAATATAAAAAAGCTCCTATTAAATTAAGATGCACTAAGGTCTGGGAAAAGAAAGTTTGGGGCTCTCTGCTGGAACTGCTACCTCCGCGACCCGACCACGGATAAGCGGGAGAAGATGGATGGATGAAGGTTTATGACAAAGGCATAATGCTATCTTGGAAGGAAACATTGTAAACTTCCTTTCAGAGAGGGCAAAAGCTTTTTAAGAGAAAAGATGGAGGTTATAAAAGTATTGGAGGTGTCTCAAAAGAGATAATTACATTTGTGTATTTGATATAGCAAATGTTAATTTACAAAAGTATGTTTTCTGCTTGTTGTGGTTTTAAATAAAAACGCAAGTCCGCATACATTTGCATACATTATCAGAGTGAAAATATACAACAACACAGACCCTTAGATGAAAACTGAAGCCGAGTCATAAACCCGACACAAGAAATTTGATGTGATTGGACTTTGAAACTGGGACATGGGAAGTCAGCAGTGCAGGCATTATATTTATGGAAAGCTGACACTGTTGGCTTTTACATTTACCAAAACAAACTCCCACAAATGAAGCTCATGCACTGAGTGGGCTGTTTTCCTGACCCACTTGCATGACTGGTGGGGGCTACAAATTGTGATTAATGGTGCAAAGTGAAACCTTTTCCAAAAGTATAAGTGAAATATTGTTATTCTAAGCGCTTCATTCAGATATTCATGGTTAGTTTTATTTGTTTTTATTTTTATTATGGCAAATCATAATCTCGATTATTTGGGTCAATAATTGATATCACGATTATTAAAAACGATTATCCATTTACTTTGAAAACATCAATTTATTGGAGAAAAAAAATGTGAACAGTATGTTATTAACAGTTGATTACCCTTAACTTTAATTATAATTCAACTGAAAAACCAAGAAAAAAAAATTATTTAAAAAAAAAAGAAAAGTAATAATAATACAAAAAATAATCGTTTTATTTAGATTACGTTGTTTTCGTAATCGTTGCAAGCCATAATCGTAATTGCGATTAAAATACAATTAATTGAGCAGCCCTAGTGTACAGGCTCTTCAGCTGAGCTTGAGCCTGAATGTGTTTCTTTTTCTTTCACCGATGGAGCCAGCTCAATTTATGTTATCAACCCTGAATCAGCTAAAAAGGAAGACGTGTATGATTCACCTGCATCAGCACTTCCTATATTCATAACCTACAGTACACCACCCCATAATATAACACAAGCCAACATTGTTTGAAGTAGCAGGCCTGTTTCTAGAACGGTGCCAAACTCAAGCTGTCAGTGTTTAAACTGTTAATATATTTGGCTCATCCCATAATCATGGCTAAAGGAATGTAGAGAAGGGCTTTTCTCTGAAATGTAGCCTTCCCAACTGCTTATAACAGAGAGCCAATGGCTTTTTCTGACACTTTCCTCATCTGTGCCATGAAGAATTGAGAATTACTAACCCCTTTCTCCATTGGTCATGGTGTTCATATTTCCCTCCAGCCTATGAGCACAGACACTGAATCCAAAGTGCTTCAGAGTTTGTGTAATCTGATTAGTTCACCCCGAGTTATATAGAGTTGCTTGAATTCAGAGGAGTTGCCTGCAGCCATGCTTGAACAGTCTGTCAATAATGAAATGGTCTACAGGAGAAAATAGACCTGCGTGAGAGGAGGCTTTAGGTTACTTGCACTTTACTGTAGCTCATTTTCGATGGCAGGCCGCTTAAAAGCATTCAACAGCCAGAAGAGGCTTGAGCGCGAGAGCAGGAAAAGCATCTGTAATGAGTTGCTGCTGTGTTCGCCTCGGGGCGGAAAGCTTTATGTCGCGCAACAGAGTGAGGTGAAACACTCTGAAAAGATCGATGCAGTGACCTTTTGTGACCTTATCGATAATACTGCATTTTGACAAACTTTTATAGCATTTGATAGACTGAACCAACTCAATACCTGGCAGTTAAATGATATATGTTTGACATTGACATATCCCATGAAGACAAATGAATTGATCAAACTAACAAGTATTGCCTGTGTATCCGAAGAATGATATATATTATTCATCACGCCACGGAACTACAGTATTGTAGCGCAAAAGCATAAAAAGTCATTTGAAAAAAGAATACAGCCACTCCTGACACTGGGTGAAGTGTGTATGTCTTCAGTACAACAAACATTTAATTTGAAAGAAGTGCTTTTGTTGTGATATCTCAGTATAAGGAATACTTCTGAAGGAAAATGTCTTAAAGGAAATGGAAAATGTCTTCAAATTAGGCACAGTCATCAACATAGTCATGATAAACATGTATATAATCTGAAGGTCAAAGGTTGATCAACGTCACTGGTTGGCGGAGACTGTGTTAGTAGCATATCTAATGGATCTTATGGATAGCCTTTTAGTTTTGTTCGTAGTTTTTGAACAATAATAGAGTTCCGCTTTAAGGAACTATAAACTATATATGTGGCTACACAAACAATATGAGTTAGCAAGAAGGATTGATTGTTGGTTTTAGTGTTGTTAGAGGGTTTGAGGACGATATTAAAAAACATATGGCCAGCCTTAGCGTTTAACTTCAAAGAAAGGTTTTAGCACATGTGAAAACACGAGCCCCTACTCTTCTAACCATGTTTTATTATTATCCGACAGAAACACATTTATTCAAATGATCTTTGCAAGAGGCAAACAACCATATGCCACAGCTCCTTACCTTGGTTGGAGCCATTGGAGGGGAAGTGATCTGTCTTTTTGAGGGTTCGAAAATGGACCTTCTTGCTGGCTTGGCTCTCCCCATAAAGGCCGATTGACTGGACCTGGATGATGTAGTCTGTCTCCTCGTCCAAGTCCCAGAGGACACAAGAGCGGCTGGTGGTGTTGACTTCTCGAATGAATCGTTGCACGTGTCCTTCCTGCCTCTAGGGATACGAACAGGGATAAAGTACACCAAAGTAGATTGATCTTTTGAATAGATGCAGTAATCAATACAGTGTTGGTAATCAAGGTGAAGAAACAGTCCTGCAAATGGTCCCTAAGGAAGAAACCTTCGTAAAAATGCTAAAAACAATCATGTACCTCTTGATGGAGCCATGATAATGTGAGACGGAGGTTACCTACTGTACCAAAGTTTGCTGGAGAACGACATGCTGGGTGCTTATTATATTAACAGTTGGCAATTTAGTTTAGCCGTAAGGAGTCTTGACTGGGAATTATACATTTGCAGTCAATATTCTGAAAGCTTGTGACTCCAGGTACTTGCCGTCTAGACTAATCAGAGTCTCAGACTTTGTCTATGACCTTTCAGAAGGTTACTGGAGCAACAAAGACCCAAAGCTGTGAGAATGATACTCCTGTAGCATTATCTATGTGTGGCTCTAGGTCGAAGTCTCTTTAATGGCCCTGCTCGACTAAAAGACAGCTGTAAACTATGAGTAATGTAATTATTTACCACGATATACATCAATTTAAGATGCTTACCATGACAAACATCTGTGTGTTTGGGTCATTTTGGTGTTGTACACAGACCATCAGTCACACTAAGTGAAAGCAAAGTTAAAGAGTTGCATGATGCCTTAAAGCATAAACACAATTACATAAACATATGGTGTTCACCCATTCAGGGTTAACATTTATTGGTTTTCCTATATTAAGCCTATGAAATCGTTTTAGCCTCAGAATTGCAGTTTGGCGGCTTCACAAAGTGGCCCCCTGTTTTCTCTTGACAATTCGACCATGCCAAGTTTGATTCTGACTCCAAGCTTGAAGGCAATATTTAGTCATCCTTTCTGCATGCTAAGCAAAGCTTTACCCAAGAATACACACTGAGATGAAGACACATCTTCATTCATCTGCTTGTGCATATGTGCTGCATACTTACTCATTATGCTGGACAAACTCATGAAATATAGTGTTTGATGAGCATATAAAAACTCCTCCATGGACTTTGTGACTATATTATCATTTAATTGTCCGAGTAATATGTTTTCAGTCACTTATACCTATTTTAGCCGTACGTGTTTCACAGGCTGGCACGAACGATGACAGGGTGGGTTACAGATTCCAGGTGCACTTCTTCATACTCACTGCATGGTGTGCCAACAAAATTTAAACTGGACATGACAAAGGCTCAATGCCAAGTCACAAATCTAAAACTAATGCAATTTTCCCTAACGGCCCCTACACACGGCGGCGTGCGTTGAAGCTTGCCGGCGGGCATGTCTGACGCTCGACCAACAACCAATCACATGAATCTCCCGCCCCGGACACACAAGCAGCGGTTTGATTGGCTAGAGCTTGTACTTGCATATGATTCGATTGGCTGACGCTTCCGTCGAAGCTTCAAAAGTAGAACATTGCTCTTCTTTTGAAGCAAGCAACGCTACGCTTTGCTCCCACAATGCAGTTCGGCGAAGCGTGACGTCACCCCATTCAAAGTGAATGGACAGAAGCGTTGAAGCTTCAACGCAAGCCGCCGTGTGTAGGGGCCTTTATGGGGGGTTTTCTGCCAACCCGTCCATGTTTCGCCATATTCATAATACAAGTTTAGGACTTACCTGTTGTGAGATCGAAAAGCCGATTATTATATCTCCCTCTGGAACTTCCCAGGATACAGTTGCAGAGTCGGCTCGCAGATGCATGACGGACACATTAACAGGAGCCGGTGGCCGGTCTGACGGAAAGGAAAAATAAATAGACTTTCTGTTAATCCACCAGATATTACTGTAAATTATCCAAGCCATATGTGTCCACGCTGCACCTGGAAAGTCTTGGCACTGAACTCAACACTATAACCTGGCTGTATGTGTCATCATGGTACACTAACTGCTGGGTCTCATGTTATAAAAAGCTAAATATTCAATAGACCCAGTTATAAAGCACCTTTCTTTTCTTCCGACCACTCAAAGCGCATTAAAACACATATCAACATTGACCAATTACCACACAAGGTGCCAAACTGCTCTTCAGTATCTTATCTCATGTTCATTTATACAAACTCACACTCTAGCTTTGCCTTCGGGAGCAATTTGGGTTCACAATCTTTAAAAGCACATTACAACATGCAGATTGTAGCCGAGGTAAACTGACGATCTTCTGATAAGTTTTACCTCGTGAACCAAGCACTGGACTACAGTGAAGTTGCCTCTTTCATCTCCAGATACCAGCTTTACTGTTTACTGATCCTCTTAGACCAATAAACCATTGGGTTGACATTGAAAACTGTTTTCAAAGGCAGCCTCAGTGTGGCCACTCAAAACAACCCAATACTGTATCCGCTCCTCTGACCAAACAATAAGATGAGTCAATTCAAACACCTTCGTTAAGTCTCCTTGTTACTAGCTGTTATAATTGTCTGCTTGCATTTTAAATAAAACCTGCATCAATGTCTCATGTTTTATGTCCTTTATCTTAAACAGCCTTAGCCAAAGTAACCATGGTATCCATTTCATGTCCAACTCATTCAGGCATGGTTACGTTTCTACATTCTGGTACATTGCAACCATCTATCTTGATGTGGTTGCTATTGGAAACGTTGATTGCAAAGTGGGACTAAAGCCTGAGAAGCAAAGGCAGGAGCGCCTGAAGGTGACAGATCTAATAAAGCGCCCTATACGTTTTCACAGTCCCCTAACAATAGCTCAGATCAGAGGGACAGATGAAATGGGATTGGCCGTGCCGATGGGGACCTGGAGGCTGTCCTCGGGGTCTAATGGACTCTGTGTGTTGTCGCAGAAAGTGACTGGAGCAATGTTGAGAGGTTAACGTGAGTGGACAGGTCTTGAGATGTCAGATTTGTGAGAAATAATGAGAAATTAATAGGGGATCTTATGGGGATCGCATCAGATAAGACAAAGCTTGATACTTTAATGCTTTTCCTAATGAGTTGTAATTACAGTATCAGAGCTGCTCTGTAACTACCTGTAGTACGATTTTTATACGAAGCTTTCGGTAGCTAGTCAAGGGAATGTTAATTGACAGTTAGACCCTCCAGAAAAACGCGGGCAAAAATCCTTGATTATGCGGGCTAAATTCCTTGATTATGCGGGCTAAAATCCTTGATTATGCGATTAAACATGCAGGGTTTTTATGTGATTTTATGCGGTGAAATTGCGGGAAGTTGCGAAATATGCGGAAAGTTGCGGAATATGCTAAATATGCGGGAAAAAAGAATAACAATTTTTTAAAATATTGGGCTGTCTTATTTATTCTCTCTCAGAGAGAATAAATAAGACAGCCCAATATTTTAAAAAATTGTTATTCTTTTTTCCCGCATATTTAGCATATTCCGCAACTTTCCGCATATTTCGCAACTTNCAAACAACAAATAACGTGTTCCATTTTCACTCTACAGAGAGAAGCTCACGGGGCTTTCCTGAACCTGTGTCGAGAGCTGGAGTTAAATGGAACCTCAGATTTGCCTTCTTAATAGTTTGTTTGGGTCCCTCACTTCCGTTTAGCTTCTCATGCACTGATTCGCTAAGCTGAACAGCCAATCAAATGATTTATTTAGCCGACTGCCGGGTTTTCGGCCGAAAAGGCCCGATGGTGCAGGACACACCAATCTGAGTAGGGCATGTCGACGCCCATCGTCGGCCTGACGCCCACCAACGCCGATAATCGGCCTGGTGTGTCCGTGCCTTAAAGTGCTTTGACAATAAATACATAAAAAGATGTCATCTGTGGAAGCCGTAGTACTGTAAAAAGCACGACCAATCATCTGAGCCGACCCGGCTAAAATAACTGGATGGCCTACCTGCCTGTCAGCCTTCCATCTGTGCACAAACTTATCTGGTGCCCTCATTGGTCATGTGCGTGTTCGTGTGTGTTGGAGGAGGGGCTCTGTAAGGAAGTGGCAGATTTGTTCCGGTTGTGTATTTTCAAATTCTAGCGCACTCGAGCTGGTTTCTCCAAAATTACCTACCCCACCTTTAACTTGATTTGTTACTTCTATCAAATGTATTGTACATATTGTTTCCAATGAACGCAAATATAAAATCGATTAGTTCTGACACACAATGGTTTATTGAGCTTTAAAAACAGCATCACGAGTACCACCATTTCAAGCGAACAAAGCAAAATAGAGCTAGTGCTCTGTTATCAATTTCAACGCCATGTGTTATACAATTTGAAGAACAAAAGGGACAATATAATCTTTGGATTTACAAAATAAAACCAATAATTTGTCAAACCCGTTTTAACTGTCTTCCCTGAGGAATAAACATAGATCATTGCAACAAATGAAAAACTGTTTTTGGTTAAGCTAGAGAGTGACGCCCCCGATCACTTATTGAGAGGAGAGAGAGAAGTAACATAGATTTAGCAAATGAATGAGTGAAGACGGTCTTCATGGTTGAACTTGGGCTGAGCTTCATTTGCGTAAGACTAGAAAAAAAGTTAGGAATAACACAGAAAAACATCTTTGTTTTGTTAATTTACAGCTGTTACTCAATCTGGCAATTAAGGTCACTAGGGGCTGTTTAATCCATTATAATCCCAATTCCCAATCTCTATGAATAAATGTAATTACCCCAGTGTTTTCATGTGTTAGTTAATATTCAGCAGAGCAGATGGAAACAGCTAATGGCAGAGCGTGTGTAACCAGCTGCTACATAATACCCACGAGAAGCTTATTTATAGAGAAATATATGGAATTCACCCAAAGACCATTACGAGTTTATTCCTGAAACTATCTATTATTTAATGCCATTAATCAGTCTATACGTGTGTAGCATGTTTTTCTTGGTGCTTATTTTGGACACAGTTGTGCTATTACAGCATTTTCAAAGTTATGGGGGGGAGGACATCTTGGAGACTCTTCAGGAATTTGCTCATGCTCGGCTTTTTTCATCGTCCAAGCGCCTGGTTTTACTTGGATGAAGCAACACATTTTCCTTTTACATTTAAGTCCAAGTTAAGGTTGATGTGTGCCAATACAAGCTATTGGACAATCAGATGAGCTAAAAAAGCACATGAGACGGAAAAAAAAGAATAAGAAAGGCATTCGGACATATTCACTGACTACATGTGGTATCTTAAATTGATACTCGGTCACGAAAACGAGAATAAATCTCAAATATTGAAATAATGAACAATATTCAATCAGGTAAACATATTTCATTGGTGAGGGAAAACGAAATGCAATTTGTCCTTAAATGAAAATTCACTTCAAATGCTTTAAACACATTAGTATTCTCAGTTGGTTTGAAGTTGTTAAAGTACTGAATTTAAAATAACCCATCTCTCAGCGAGGGAATAACTCAATTATCTGGAATAACCGAGCAAACAACATGAGCTCGTTTAAATTCCTGTCTTATCCTGAGCTCTGCTTTTTACACCTGTACGCTTAATGCAACAGTGAATGCTGAAAAATGTAAGATTCTTATGAGCAATGCTTTAAATATCTCCCTGGAGAGTATTAAGTAAAGGTACAAGAGTAAGACAAATGATATTATGCAAAGTGGAATCGAGACATAAATTCAACATCATCCATATAAAGTAGTTTTCACTAAAGTCAAGTCCCTTTTTATGTATTTCTATTGGAATCAAATGTCTCACCAATTCATTTCAGTTATTCAGACTATCCAACAGGCAGTCTTAATAAAATACAAAATCAAGTCAATCTCAGTCTTTTAGCTTCTTGCTTCTGTAATCCAATTTTACAAGATAATAAGATTAAAATATATTTGTTGATATAATCCTGCCTTTAAGAACTACACATTGAATTATAAGACAGTCTTAATATAATCTAATACTTCTGTTTGTTGCTTCCTCACTGGAGTACAACTTCTTTAGACAAATGAGTTGCAAATGGGACTTCATGAAGGTTGTAGGAGCCGCATTTAAGTTATTTATTTAGTTTTGATTTATTCGGAATCTTTATTAATGCATTTTTCTGTTTCAGTGAGAGGTGTGCTTTGCTCAGGTGAAGGGGGCGGGGCTTTAAGTTGGAGGTTTGGTGTGACGGACACTTAGACGCAACTTTATGCTTCGTAAAACACAGATTATTAGGATCTGCTGTTTAAGTTTATGTTACATATTGTTTTCCTATTTTGTTTTATGTTTGCTGGAAATAAACGTTGAAAAGCAATCGAAACATCCAGTGGATTTTGTACTACGAGTCTGACACTGCTTCCCAGGCCCAAGCTCTACATGTGGCCAAGAACAATAACTTTTGAGGTGTCGAGTTACAAGACAAACCTTTGGGGATGTTGGCCACTACAAAGGTCATAATGTTCAGTTTTAGTTGGAGCTGCTTCAGATTGGTATTAAAACTAACGGTCACTTCAGGATGTAGTTTGTGTGTGAAGCTGACCGTTGAGCGGCCCGACCAAGCAAGGAGGCAGAGGCAGAACGTCCAAAATACAACCCGGTGTGGGCATTTATTACTCACGGGCACATGACACAGCCTCAATCTGCTGTTCACGTGAGCACAGTCAGCAGCCACCAGGATCTCACACACACTACCAAAACAGGAAACACAGAGCCTAAATACCCACACGAATTAACCCAAAAATACACAGGTGAGGGGGGAGGAGACAACACAGGGCACCAGGTGCACATAATCAGGAGCAACAGACAAAACGGGAGGGGGAACACTTTTCAAAATAAAACACATGTGCAATATACAAAGCCCGAAGCCATCTTCGTCACATTGTGTAATTAATATTTGTA